AAACTAAAGTTGCTCCTATCGACAAACGAATTTCAATACCAAGACTAGAACTCTGCGGTGCGGTATTAGCAACTAAACTAATCTTTGAGATATCTCAAGTGATGAACATACCTAAAGAAAGATTATATGCATGGACAGATTCAACTATTGTACTGGCCTGGTTGAAAGGTGGATCGAGTCGATGGAACACATTCGTGAGCAACCGAGTTTCGGATATTTTAAATATTCTAGACTATCATCAGTGGGGTCATGTCACTACCGATACGAATCCAGCTGATTGTGCTTCAAGAGGTTTATTAGTTCCAGAATTATTGAATAAATCATTGTGGTGGAATGGACCAACCTGGTTATCTGCACAGCATTTAAATATGAATACAATCGACATAGAGGATACACAAGAAGAAGAAAAAAGAAAAAATATAACTGTTTTATTGAGTGTTGAAGATAATATCATTTGGACTAGGTTTTCTAGTATATCAAGATTGCTAAGAGTGATTTCGTATTGTAGAAGATGGTTAAAATTTAAGAGAACAAATATACATCATTACCAGAAACTGATTACTGTAGAAGAAATTAATGAAACTTTGAACATTTATATAAAGCAAACTCAAGAGGTAGAGTTTAAAGAAGAATTAAATTATTTAATAAAATCTCAAGGCTGTGTACTTGCTAGAAGCAAATTACGCAATCTTTGTCCCTTCATTGATGATAATGGAATTTTAAGAGTCAGTGGGCGTATCCAAGCTTCAGATGCTGGTTACGACACACGGCATCCAATAATTTTACCAGCTAAAAGTCATCTTAGTAGGCTAATAATTATTGATGCTCATCAAAGAACAATGCACGGTGGACCACAACTAATGTTAAATTACTTGAGGTCAAAATATTGGATAATAAGAGCTAAGGATCAAGTAAAAAAGTATTATCGAGAATGTGTTACTTGTCGAAGATATTCAAGAAACAATTCAGTTCAATTAATGGGGCAACTACCTGAAATTCGAGTAAAACCCAGTCGACCTTTCAGATCAGCGGGGGTAGATTATGCTGCACCCACACATCACCCACGGCGGGAGGAGACATTGGATGATTTCCCCCCCTTAAAAAAAGAGCGTATCCTTGATATTATGACGAATTTTCTTAAACATAATATATACATACCTCAACCAGCGAAATAATTGGTTTACATAAACACGTAGTATAGTATGCTAATGTAAACTTTATAAATAGATATTATAATTCGTTAACCGTTAGTTTTTATTTTCAAGGCTACTTTTTCAGTAGAATTGCAATAGTACCTAACAGTAAAATACTAAAAATATCATTTGCAACTGAATGGATTGAGTAATATGAAAAACTAGCTACTTACGCGCGGTTTCACCCGCGATGTTTTATAGCCTATAGCCTTGATAAATGGACTATGCAACACAAAAGAATTTTGCAAATCAGTCCAGTAGTTCCTGAGATTAGCGCGTTCAAACAAACAAACAAACAAAAACTCTTCAGCTTTATATAGTAGTATAAGATAACTGTTAGTTGTGTGCGCAAAGCAAGCCTGCGCTGAGAGAAGGGATTTTGTTCAATTATGAGTCCCATTTATTATTGCCATACACAGATCCAGAAAGACTCCATAATCACGACCCGTGTGGGAGAGCCATGCTTCGTCACGAATGAGCCGGCTAGACCGGGTTGGTACAACAGCCGAGCAGTTTAACTAAGTGAAACAACTACATAAACCCAAAAATACTCTAATTTAAAATCCTCAAAAGGCCGGTAACACACTTGTAACGCCTCTGGTATTCTAGGTGTATATCCCATCCCTAGCGATGTGCTGTATCAGGCGTTGCACCGTGGGGGCTCCGGAGCAGGTCTCTTCAGAGGACCCGGTGCCCCTTACAGGTGCTAAGTGTGGCCACAGGGGTGGTTTTAGTGAGGTGGTTAATGTCGTGGTGGCCCGGAGGTTTAAGACGCCCACTTCTCATGCATGAGGGTGCGGGTTCGAAACCTACCATCGGCAAGTACCAATGTGACTTTTTCCGAACTTTCTAAGCTGACACCACTGACAAACGGTGAAGGAAAAACATCGTGAGGAAACCTGGACTTATAATTTCTAATTATAAGTTTGAAATCGCCAACCCGCATTGAGCCAGCGTGGTGATTAATGCTCTAACCTTCTCCGTGTGAGAAGAGGCTTTGCTCAGCAGTGGGCATTTATAGGCTGTTGATGATGATGAAGAATCCCACACTCCCTATTCTTTCTCCCCAAAAAGCTAAGCGCCTTTTGAAGGTATCCCCCCGACATCAAAAAAAATAAAAAAAGGTGTATATCCATAAGAAAAAAAATTCTGTGCAGCGGCAATATGAGGTGATTTGATTACTCTAGATAAATAAGGGACGCATTTCAAGTACTTACACAAATACATACATTTTATCTTACTGACTGATTAGTGATTACTGCTATCGGATATCGGACATGATTTATTTATTTTTCTCTTTATCCCAAGTTACGTGAGGTCATTTCAAAGGCTTATATCCTCATCGTTATTCTTTCAATCTTATCATAATACCATTTTTTTTAAACATCATTGTAACTCATACGATCGATCCATATTTATTTTGATATATATAAATAGATAGTTATCTGGTTTCTGTCTCTTTAGTAGTTGTAGACTGCCGTTGGCCAAGTGGTCGTACGTGCGCCTGCTGGGCAAGGGGACTCGGGTTCGATTCCCGGGTCGGGCAAAGTTAAAAAAAAGTTTTTTATTACTGAGTTTTAAACAAAATTCTCTGTGGTAGCACGGAGTTTGGAATTGCGCCCGGTATATGGCAATAAGCTCACCCCTATAAATAAAATAGTGAAAAGTGAGTGTTACACTGTACACTGCACTTACATTAAGTCTGCTCGTTTACCGGCTTATCCTACAAATTTCAGGTAACCCCTATTATGCGACGAAATAACTGGGCTAATAAGGGCAGAAAGGAAAAGCAAGATGATGAATCTCTAGAAGATTAATACTTTTTAAAGCGTTTCCCTTTGGATGCAACCGAGGAAATAGGACACTGTCAACAAGAAACCTAGAAAATGTCCAGCATCTCATGCATGAGGGTGCGGGTTCGAAACCTACCAACGGCAAGTACCAATGTGACTTCCAATGTGACTTTTTCCGTGCTATATGTACTTTCTAAGGTTATCTAGACCACTGACAAACATCGTGAGGAAACCTGGGCTTATAATTTCTAATTAAAGTCTGCAATCGCCAACCCGCATTGAGCAAGCGTGGTTATTAAAGCTTAAACCTTTTCCGTGTCAGAAAGGCTTTGCTCAGAAGTGGGCATTTATAGGCTGTTGATGATGAACAAGAAACCTAGCTGTTCACTCCAATACAAGCAGCGGTTTCGTATTAACAACAGATGACACACTATCACTATCAGTTACAAGTATTCAGAAATCTATTCCCACTTCAAATAGTTAATAGCCCGATAATATGAACGTGATACGATACACATTTCGAGTGGCTGATCATTGTAAATTGTGTGATAAGGGCTTATCTGTGTACATAAGACAAGCAGGTGTCAGGTGTTGATGCCGATTGCCGTTGTTGCAATTCTTGTTGCTGATGAGTCGTTCTAAAAGGTTGTTCAATAACAAGCGTCAATAACCACCACTTATTGATGAAACCTCTTCCGAGATAGCTGATTGTTCAAAGATAATGTTCAACTATAACTACATAGTATAAAACAAAGTCGCTATCCGCCGTCTCTCTGTCCCTATGTATGCTTAGATCTTTAAAACTACGCAACGGATTTTGATGCGGTTTTTTTTAATAGATAGAGTTATTCTTAAAGTGTCAAACACCGCGAGGACACCGGTGACGCAACCTATTGTTCTTTAATTGTGTCTATAATGACTTTACTCAAAGGGTTAAGGAAGGTTTATATTTATGTATAATACATGCATTTTGCACCCGTGCGAAGCCGGGGCGGGTCGCTAGTAATGCATAAAAGTAACAACATAGTTTCTTACTCGTTATTTTTAAAATTAACTAATTGATATAATTCTGTAATAATAATAATCTTTATTCATTATTAGCTGACCCGGCAAACAACATACCACCTAAAAACAAATTCTCAAACGTTAAACTTTCCCTGGACTTCCACAAAATTTCAAGACCAAAGTTATCCAAATCTGTGCAGCCGTTCTCGAGTTTTAGTGGGACTAACGAACGGAAATTCATTTTCATTAATATAGATAGGTAATAAAATATTCATAGTACAGATAAACATCTTAATTTAACATCAGAGATCTCGCCAAGTTTGAATGCCTGTACTAGGAAGAATATCCTGTGTCACGTAGGCGAGAGGGAATAACAATATTACTTATTCTAGGACAAGTTATTTATATAAACAAATTACATAATTCAATAATTAATTTTACTTTGGTAGTAAAAAGCAGTTCCTCCGACAAGCTAACTCACACGGTTATGTTGTTTTACACCATATAGGGCTCGTACACAAAAGATGCGATTTCGTGCGACAAGGCGTCTCCCAGGGCGACCATTCCTTCGACGACCGTCAACTGTACTAAACGTATTTTAAATTGAAAACTAGGTTGTGACATGGATTGTAAAAAGAAGTGTGCACTTCTGTTATTGCTTAGGAGATACAGGAAAAAGAAACAAAGAAGATTTCGGGAAGATAAGATTTTGATGCGCGATGCGAATCAATTCGCAAGTTCTTGCAATGCGTAAAGGTAGCTCGCATATTTTTGCAATGCGACGCCGCAGCGCAGTTTTGTCGAGCCGACCCCATTGGTAGCAAAGTATGGCTTTATTACGTAAAAAATACGTCTTAATAATCGTCTATACAATACCTTTCTTATGGACATCAAACCAGCTCAAGGGGGATCACCTGATGGTAAGAAATCAGCGCCGTCCATGAACAGCCAGAGTACCATAGGAGTTACAAATACGTTCAGGCCGCTTTACAGAGTTATATTAACTTACCCAACATGAGAGAATGGTTGATGACTCCACCGAAGCAGTAAGCTACCAATAGCATCAGAGGCCAGCTGAGTTGCGTCACAAAAGGTAAAGAGATGATCTGGACTAGCACCATCGCCGTCACCACCCATTTGAAGTTCGGATCGTAACCAAACAGCTTCTTGATTTGAGGGTATTTTTCTGTGGACAATGAGAGACAAAATTTAGATTTTTTTATTGCATAAGCCGGTAAACGAGCAGACGGATCACCTGATGGTAAGCAATCGGCGTCGCCCATGGATATCTGGAACACCAGATGCGTTACAAGTGCGTCACCGGCCTTTTGAGGATTAGGAGTTTGAGGATCGTTGAGGATTCAGGGATTGGGGAGATTGGGGAAGGGGAAGGTAATTGGGCCCCGGTAACCTCACTCACACGACGAAAAACAACACAAGCGTTGCTTCACGTCGGTTTTCTGTGAGGCCGTGGTATCACTCCGGTCGAGCCAGCCCATTCCTGCCGAAGCATGGCTCTCCCACACTTAAATGTTAAAATAGAGTGAAGTATTCTTCTTTAAGAAGTTCTAGAGGCTCATATCCGTGAGCAGCATTCCGCGAACCACGACACGCGGCGACTGGTCGCGCTGCGCCAGCAGCATGGCTTGAAACTAGTCGAGTTCCTCGTGAAACAATTACGAGAATAACTGTAAAAAACTTATAAGAGGGTAGATGCCCAATTTTTATTTTAATGTCCGTCTGGTAGATTATTTTAAATCATTAGACACGTATTTTTTATTTTCTTACAGAAACGAATACTTTCGACGATATATTGATTTGATGTACATTTTATACGACGTTGATGATGTTTTAGCCCCCGCTCCTAAACTTTGATTCGTTTGCTATTATCGTTACCTAAACGCTGAATAATCTTAGAAACTACACATAACTCGGAAAAGTCACATTGGTACTTGCCGTTTCGGACCCGAACCCTAGCAATAGGCATAAACAGTGAAAAGTGGATATTACACTGTACTGTGGCATAATGTGTGCACCTTTGCCTACCCCTTCGGGCATAAAAGGTGTGATGTTATGTATCACTCGATCAATTTCAATCATTTGAAGTGTTTACACTCTTACAATATGTATAAGTCTTTTAATTGATACGACCTATTTCAAATACATTTCGATTAATGTTCCATTTGAGTACGTTAGAGACAATATTATGGCAGTACTTCAAAATGGTGGTTATGACACGTGAGTCAAACATATACATAGGCATTGCGATTTTTGCTCCACGAATGAGTTTATTATTTATTATTTATTTTCAGCCATGATCGTCCCACTGCAGGGCAAAGGCCTCCCTACACTCCTTCCACTCCTCTCTATGTAAAGCTTTTTGCGGCCAATCCTTGAGTTTACGCACATTAAATGTAAAATTGTGAGTACCATGTTTCATATAGTAGTGAGTGAATCTTACTAAAAATGCAAAAATTTGTCTGTATACGTATTTGTTTTAAGCATAAGCCGGTAAACGAGCCGACGGATCACCTGATGGGAAGCAATCGGCGTCGCCCATGGACGCCTGGAGCACCAAAGACTTACAAGTGCGTTACTTTTGGGGATTAGCAGTTTGAGAATCGTTGGGAATTCAGAGATTGGGGAGATTGGGGAAGGGGAGGGTAATTGGGCCTTCGGTAACCTCACTCACACGACGAAACACAACGCAAGCGTTGCTTTACGTCGGTTTTCTGTGAGGCCGTGGTATCACTCCGGTCGAGCCGGCCCATTCGTGCCGAAGCATGGCTCTCTCACACTTTAAGGATCGTTAAGGATTCAGGGATTGTCAAGATAGGATTTGGATTTCCCTATCCGTCGCGGGTCGCGAAATGCTGCTCATGAATACGAGCCTCTAACATGGCTTGAAACTAGTCGAGTTTGTCGTCAAACAGTTACGTGAGTAAGCCGCAAACATAATAATCAGGCTAAATGTTATGAACCTCTCAGTCACGGATAATTATGAACATAGCAACGAACCACTAATTACTTGTAACTCACTTCATTACTTAGGAGTACACTAATAATGTTTAATTGGTCTTAACTAGCTAGACGTGTAAGACTTAGATAATATCTGTTTTTCTTTTATTCTCTAGAATAATGGGGATGATGACAGGGTATGAAAATTAAAAATATAATTAGTCCGTCAGTTAGGTAATGAAAAAATATTAGACACGTATTTTTTTTTATTTTGTCGTATAATAAAATAATACTTAGATAAAACGAATCAAAATTTAGGAGTGGGGGCTAAAACGTCATTCCTTAGTATAAAATGTACTGAGAAGTGACGTCACGCGACATTTCAAATCAATATATCTTCGAAACTATTCGTTTCTGTGAGAAAATAAAAAATACGTGTCTAATGTTTTTAAATAATCTATCAGACGGACATTAAAATAAAAATTAGTCGTCTACCCCATTCTATCTATATTGTATAAAAAATAATATCTAGAATATTCTCTAGAATAAAAGAAAAACAGATATTAATAAACAGATATATTAGAAAAAAATATTTTAGAAAATTATTTTTCATGTATTCTCCAGACTCGTTGGCTGAGTGATCGCAAGTGCGGCTGCCGGGCAAGGGGTCTCGGGTTCGATTCCTGGGTCGAGCAAAGTATTACTGGTTTGTTTTTTTAATTCTCTGTCGTCGCACGGAGTTTGGAATCGTGCCCGGTATATGGCAATAGGCTCACCCCCTATTACTGAGACTCATAATAATATAAATAGTGATGAGCGGGTGTTGCATTGTACAGTGGCAGTAAGTTCCGTAATGTGCACTTCTGCCTACATGGTTCCTTCTGGTTGGATAAAAGGCGTGATGTTATGTATTCTCGAGAAACTATAAATATCTCGTTTTGGCCGATATGACGATAGTTTTGTTCAAAGTCTAAGTCGAAATGATTTATTTCAATTAGACCTAGAAGGCATTTTTGAACATCAAATAAGATACGTGTCAGTCGATCAATCCTTTGGTAAAACTATTTGACCGTCCAAAGTCAAGGTCGTAGAAAAAAAGGCGGACGTAATGCCACTTAGAAATGATTGAAGCACCATATTTTCAGCCAGTTCTTCAGGTAATCAAGTTTAACAAGAATAAAAAAAAAGTTAAAGCAGAAAAAAATATTTAAGTAGTGTACCTACATATATCTATAATAGATAAAAGTATACAAAAATAAAAAATAATAATATCAGTCACGTAAATATAGTAGCCTATGTATAGACCAGACAAGCAGCTGTAGACGATGATGGATAAGTAGATAGCAGCGATAACAAATTGATAGTAAATAGAAATACCAATAGTGACTCATTTGTGATGACCGTAAATTATCTATACTAAGCTGACGGATAACCTTCTAGTTGTCATATGCAACTATAAAACTTAGTATAATTAATCAACAACCTAAAAAAATCTCAAAGAGCCATCAGACCACCACGGATGGAGCTCAATAAGGCTAATGCCGATACGGAGCCGCGGAGGACTTAACGGGTTGCCGGGGCTACGGCTCGAAGTGCAGGAGTACGAACGGGGTGGTTTTTATTTTAGTCAGTAAGAGTCTGACACTCCCTTCCCGCCTCACCCAAAAGTCATTCGATGATCTTCCCGCCTTAAAAAAAAATCTTTCTATAAAGGATCTTGTTGTGGGATAAACAATCGGCGGCGCCCCTTGAACACCCGAAACACCACAGGCGTTGGAAGTGCATTGCCTCTTTTGATGGTTAGAAATTTGAAGATTGGGGATTTGGAGATTAGGGAGAGGTGTAATTGGGTCTCACTCATACGACGGAAACAGAAAACAAACCTTATTTCATGCCGGTTTTCTAAAATGTAGTGGTCTGATCAAAAATGTGGTCAGGTATGAGGGGCAGATGTTCACAATACCAATGTCGATCGATCGGAATCGGATTTGAGGAAGCCCCTGGCCATGATACGGAGCGAGGAGGACTTGGAGAACGTCTCCTCCTGCGAGGCAGTCATGCTACCTAAGGAGAAGGCGGAGCGCGTATCGTAAGGAAACGATATAATTCCTACAATTTTATGCACATAACATTTTTATCGTTCATCCGATTGCAATAAAACTCAATTTTATTTATATGCAATTTCTAAAAGGCTGTTTGAGTAAATTGAGTAATAAAACATTTCTGTTTGAAAGCAATTTTGAACTAAGTACCTAACAACTTATAAAAAATATTTATTTTGTATTAAAACTTTCGTGTGACATACTAAATAAATTATTATGTTTTTGGCTGAAACACTGCAATGCCTCTAGCATGGCTTGAAACTAGTCGAGTTCCTCGTCAAATAAATACGTGAGTAAGCCGAAAATATAATAATATTTATTATTTTTTAATGTAACAAAAGGTAACGACCATTTCCACCAAATTCTTCTAAATTTTAAGAAATTCCTAACCTAAGAATGCATGGCATTTAGCGACAATTTTATTTTCACCAATTTATAAGTGACACCTAACAGTACAAGGGTATAGTTTAGGTGCTACATCACGCTAAGTAAATAGTTAAGAAATGGTTCAGGGGTGGTTGGTTAAAACGGCTCTTTTCGCGAACCCCAAATCACCGTCTGCATACAGACGTAGTAGCCTACCCACCCAAACATCAGACCATAAATATAATGGACTACAGTATTATCACATATTATTTACCAATCGAACAGCCAGATAAGATTAAGATTACAAACAAAAATACTAAGAAATGTGATGTTTCATATTTTTGTTTACAAAAAATTCTTACTACGTCGATTTCAGACGTGCAAATATGTATTTTCTACTATCTTCTGATAGGACGGAGTTTCTAGTTCATTCTTTTCCATATTAACCTATATTTTAAATCGGCCAAGTTCAAACACTCAAAAGCCCCTCAATTTTAAGACTCTCATAAGTATTTCTAGTACTACAAATACTTTATCTAATGACAGAGGTCAGATAGCGCGATTTTTAAGGGATATATTTCATCGGGACGCCGGGGCGGCTACCGTTATTTCCTTATGACATAAGCCGGAAAACGAGCAGACGGATCACCTGATGGTAAGCAATCGGCGTAGCCCTGGAACATCAGAAGCGTTACAAGTGCGTTACCGGCCTTTTTGGGATTAGGAATTTGAGGATTGTTGGTAATTCAGGGATTAGGGA